CCCAATACTCCTTAATGTTGGTGTCTTCTGTCTGAGACTATCCTCTATTTATTCCATACATTTGTTGTTTGTACATAGCTGTTTACAAGTGTTCTCCCCTATTATACTATGAGATCTTTGAAAGCATAGAATACTTTGTACCTCTCTTTGAATCCCCAATGCTTAGCACAGTGCCTGTCACATAATAGGCCCTTAGTAAATATTAGTTGAGTGACTGATTGTCTAGACATGTGGTCAAAGGATGTAAACAAAGTTCTCAAAAGAATTACTGAAAATAGTAATAGCTATGTGAAAGTTACATTTGTCCTTTTGTTCTCCCTTGATTTCCACTTAGAGGTTAGGTGCCCTGAGAAATGATTGTCTCATGTTCAAGTTATCACATGGGTCCACAGTACTAAAATTATAGGTCTTAAGTAGCCACTGGTATGCTTATCTTCACTAGTCAGGCTGTTGACACCATTAGTTCAATGAAAAGGTATTTACTGGAATAATGTAGCATGAACAAAACATGTCCTCCTTAAATCTAGATGCATTCTCCTACAAGTACATGGGAAAAGGAGTAAAAAAATAGAGTATACTCGAAGGGAAGCACAACCATAGGGAACACACAGAGCCAAGGCAACTCACACACTATACCCTGTCGTGAGTGTTATCCTCATATTTCTCCCCTGTATTGTGCCCTCCTACTGGACATGAGGCTATGCTGGAATCTATGACCCTAAACCTCCATCTAGCTAATGTCCTTGCTGCCAGACTTCACTCTTTAATTAACTCTTAATTAATTAAGTTAATTAAGATTCTTCTGATGGGAGAGTTGCTAAAAATGTGCCTTTGCTAAAGGTGTGAGACTTGGGAAGAGCAAACCCTTCCCTCCCTCTTGCTGCACTGTGGATGTGGTGAAAGGAAAAGAAAAGAACAATTTTTTCCCCAGATGGCTCTCTTCTCAATAGATGAGAATGACTGTTTTAGTGAGGTCCAGAGCTGGATGGTGACCTGTTTAAAGGACATCTGGATGTAGCCTCTCCTTTAGCCAGCCAATGGCCAACTTCCCCATAATCACATAAATTTGATGAAGGTAATTGTCATACCTCTTAAAAGATGAATAAAATGGAAGCATTTCTATATATTTTCTATTCAAGGTGTAAATGAGCTACTCCTAGTTTTATACCCTTTAAAATCTACAAGTAGGCCACTTCTTGTATAAGCCATTCCCCTACTTTTTGTAATTGCAAATACTACTCTAAGTCTGAAAGGGAGAAACCTCAGTAGTCTATTGTCTTTGTCACCTGATATCTATTATATAATTTCATCAAGTGGCTTAGAGAAGAAGGGACAATTTGATCAAGTCCTTGGTCAACCCCACTCCATCACTCCAAATCATTAGTAATAAGAAAAATACAAACTGAAAGAGCTCTGCTATTTTCCTCACACTCAGCAAATAGATGAAAATGCCAAAAGTTGGAAATAGTGAATGTTGGGGCAAAGGCTTCAGGGAGATAGATTGTTGGTAAAAAAAATATGAACTGATCTAGCTATCCTGGAAAACGATTTGAAATTATCTTTAAAAAGTACTTAAAATATTCATGCCTTCTGACTTGTTGATCCCACTGTTAATCGTAGATAGCTGATAGACAGATAGACAGACAGACAGACAGACAGACAGACAGACAGATAGATAGATAGATAGATACATAGATACATAGATACATAGATACATAGATACATAGATACATAGATACATAGATAGTGTGTGTACCATTGATGTTGAAGATAGAAATAAAGGATGTTTCCATGTGAAGGGTATACTGCTGAAAGTTCATTTAAAAGGGGGATGGAGGAATTGTCCATCTTCTCCTCTTTGCAGATGACATTTTGCTGGTTGGTTGTGTCAAATCTCAGAATTATGTAAGGCCTTCCTAATGAGGTTCTTAACCAATCAAAAGATATCTGCCTAAAACCAATTGGGTGATAAATTTATGCTGTCCTGATTTTGCTGATTATGCCATGAAGGTGAATTAGAAACTTATTTGGCTAGATCATCCGTGTCTTTCTCATGGATGGACACTAATAGGCCTAAATTTAAACAAGGGGAAATAGAGAAAGATGTGGAGAGAGAGAAAGGGAGACAGAGACAGAGAGAGATATCAAGAGAAACAGTGATAGTAGGATAGAGAAAGACACAGAGAAACTGGGACAGAAAGAGGCAAAGAAGTAGAAAGAGACAGAGAGGGACAGAGAGAGATAGAGACATAGAGAAAGAGATAGATCAGGCAGACAGCTAGATTAAGCTGGATTGCATTTGGGAAGCTGCACAGTGCCTTCAAACATCTCAAGCTCTTTGATAACATAAGTCTATCTTGAAACAAAACAGAACAAAAACACTACTTTCTCAGTGATGTTATAACATTGGGAATCATGAACACAATAACCTCAAAAAAGTTCCGGGACCCAAAGGACTAAGAAAAGATCCAAATACAAGTAGGAGATCACTTCAGTTTTTCACCAAGGATAACTTGCCTAAAAGAAATAACCTCAGATGCAGGGTCAGGACATTTATGGTCATAAAAGAAGTGAGTTTATCACTTAAAGAGAATCAGGGATAACAGATAGAAAGCCCAGGTTTTTTATTGATGTTCCAAAAATATTAAAAGAATCAGAAAAAGACTAGCAAATTGTGTGATCCTGCATAAGGGATAAAGAGCTAGGGGTAGAAGGGATCTCAGATACCATCTAGTTCCACCTCTTCATTTTAGAGTTGAGGAAACTGGGATTTAGGGAAGTCAGGTGCCTTGACCAATAGGGTCTGAATAGTAAGGGTCAGAGGTGGGATTTAAACCCAGATCATCTGAATCCAGTAAAAATAGGCTTTCCACTGTATCAAGTTAATATAATGAAAAAAGGATGGATAAAAATTAAACAGGATAAAAAGACAAGGATTTGTTATCATCTTCATGGTTACAGGGAGTTTCCATGCTAAAGAGATCCAAAATCCTCTGGATTATCAAAGCATCCAAGCTAAATTACTAGCTAATTATAATTAACTCTGTCCACATTTACCTGAAAATAATCTCTGTGTATTGTTTCGACAATTTTCCAAGCTTGACTTAAGTGCTTATTGCTGGTACCAAAACAACTTCCTAGCCTGTGTGCTCTCATTTAATGGCCTGCCAATGTAAAAACCCCAAAATGTAATAAAGACATGGATATATGATCAGAGAAATGCAAATTAAAACAATTCTCAGGTACCACCTCACACTTATCAGAGTGGCTAATGTGACAAAAAAAGATAAAATGTGGGATGTTGGAGGGGATGTGGGAAAACTGGGACACTAATGCATTGTTAGTGGTATTGTGAGCTGATCCAACCATTCTGGAGAGCAATTTGGAACCATACCCAAAAGACTATAAAACTGTGCATACTCTTTGATCCAGCAACGCCACCACTAGGGCTATATACCAATAACATCCAAAAAAAAAAGGGGGAAATGATTATTTGTGCAAAAATATTTATAGTAGCTGTTTTTGTGGGGGCTAAGAATTGGAAATCAAAGGGATGCCTATCAATTGGGGAATGGCTAAACAAGCTGTGGTAGATGATTGTAATGGAATATTATTGTGCTGTAAGAAAGGACAAGCAGGATGATTTCAGAAAAACCTAGAAAAACTTATATGAACATTACATAGTGAAGAGAACAGAATGAGAACATTGTCTACAGTAATAGCAGTATTGTTCAATGAAGAACTGAGTCATTTATTTTCAGCAATACAATGATCCAAGACAATCCCAAAGGACTGATGATGAAATATACTATCTTTCTCCAGAGAAAGAACTGATATTTATTGAATACAGGCTAAAACAAGCTATTTTTCACTTCCTTTAAATTTTTCTTTTATTCAAGTCTTCTTGTACCAAATAAGTACTATTGAAATATTTTGCATAATTGTGCATATACAACCTATATCTGATTCTTACCATCTCAGGGGTGGGGGATAGAGGGAGGGAGAGAAGGATATAATTTGGAACTCATAACTTTAAATAAAAATATTTAAAAATTAAAATAATTGTATTTAGAAGCTGACCCTTTCATAAGTGAAACGCTGTTCAGTTGTTTCAATCATGTCCAACTCTCGTGACTGCCTTTTGGGGTTTTCTTGGCAAAGATATTGGAGTGGTTTGTCATTTCCTTCTCCAGATCATTTTGCAAATGAGGTTACTCAGGCATGCAGGGTTAAGTGACTTGCCCAGGGCCACACAGCTATTTAGTGTCTGAGCTGGATTGGAATTCAGGTCTTCCTAGCTCCAGGCCTGGCACTCTATCCTAGTGGCCATACATAAGTGAGATAGAGAGCCTCGAAGAATAAATCAACCCCATCATAAATAGGAAGATGTTCTCAGTAGTTGGTTTTCTCAGTGTTTCCAGGCTTCTTACAGATGACTTGAGGGGCTGCTTGATTTTTCCCTAAATGTTCATCTATTTCATCATCTCTATCGTAAAACAGACCAAGGAAAGAACTCAGTATCAAAGCAGGGGGAGGGGTGTGAACATAGTGCTCTAGTTATTTCTTCCGGGCCCAAAGCATAAATTATAAGTAGTTTTTTAGATAGACAGTTGAGGGAAGGCTTTTGCTGGAATACCTAGAAATGATTGCCAAGTGATGATACATTAGTGCTGAAATAGAAAAGAAAAAAAAAGCTAAAATAAGTCCTAGGGCTTATAGTTAATCGTACTAGCCCAGCACTTTAAAGTTTTTTACATATCACATTTTGTTTGTGGGTGATGAGGTTGTTTTTTTTTTAATCAAAATGTTAATGCTATTTTTTTCTACAAAAATTAAGCTGGAGGAAAATATTTCACATTTCCTTACAGTAGAGTGCCTTTAGGAAACTAATAGTTCCAGCTTCTACTTTCAACCGAACAGCAGATGGGTTTGTGTATGATAAGTCCACATTAATTTTTTTTCCCTATGTTGATAGTTGAAATACTTTTTTTTTTTCTTAGCAGGAAGGATGAAATGTGAAGGAAATGCATAGAGTCCCAGATGACGGGAATTAAGTATCTCAATCTCCCAGCCACAGAAGATCTGCTGTTATTCCCAAGAACACTGTATTTTTTAAAAATCTTTATAAAGACATGTGTGTGGATCTCTTAACCATTATACTTAGACTATTTAGAAATTGAAAGTGCTATCTATTAATTTTTGGATTAATTTTTACATTAAGCTTTTCAGCACAGACAAAAAAAAAGCCTCAGGAGAATTTCATGTTTCATTATAACATCACAATGAGAATCTGCTAATTGAGTGATCAGGAGGGGTAACTTGACTACTTGCCCTGACAGCCAATGGTGGAGCACTTCCTTAAATGTCTCTCTCTCTCTTTTTTCAAACCCACCAGATATTCTGGGATTTGATGAAGAATCTCAGTGTAATTCATGTTCTAATAAAAAAAAATGATTGTAAAACACTTTTCAAAATATTGTGAAAAGTGTGATAAAAGGATATGAAGAAAGATCCCTTTCTTTTCTTTCTGGGGACTCATTATAAATCATTTTCAATGTATATTTTAAGACTCTTGTATTAGGAGAAAATGCTGAAAGCTGATTTAGAACACCTGAACTCATGGATCAGTTTACACCTAAAGAGTTAGATAGAGACCTTAATCTAACCCCTTGGGAAGGGAATGATGGATGTTTATTTGGGTAAGGAGTTATTACTCAGCTATTCATATATAAATGAGAGGAGCTGTAAGTAGAGGTAGGCAAGTGTTTGTAAACAGGAACAGAAACTTGGAGCTTAGGTTATGGGGGGATGAGTTATGACTGAGATTGGATTTAACCTGTCGCAGGGTATACAACCTTGACTTTGACCAGCAATTCTCAAACTATAAATCACAGACACTTGGAGAGCCATGAATAATTCTAACATAGTCATGAAACTATACGAAGCCATATACATTCCTGCATTTTTTTGCTTTGAAATCTAAATACCAAAGTAAATTCCATGTACATTCCTGTCTAAGGGTGAAACTTTCATCAAGTCAACCAGACTTACAATTTCTGAAAAGTATGAATTAGCCAATGGCTTACTGTAACAAACATGTATTCTGAAGCCTAAATAATGTGTTTCACAGACATATATCACTATTTTTAAATATATGCATTTGTAGTTATAATTAATAAAATACATATTTATTTAAAAGCACTAATGAATTCACATTTGACTTTTTATCATGTATTTTTCATGAAGCATGGATACTAATGATACAATCATGATCGTGTTGGTTTGTGAAATTTGTATTGTTCAAAAGAAAGGTGCATGACAGAATAATAATAGAAGAATCCTAAATGCAATGGTACTTTCATATCCAAGGCATACCAGCTCCCTTGAACCAGCAAGATTTCTAGGAGTAGCAGCATTTTGCAGAACAGAGGCCCATTTGAGCCATTATGCCAAGAAGCGACTCCTGTGGAGGAGGATCCCCACCATCTGCCAACCCATTTTCACCTACAAGGCAAATAAACTAGTTTAGCTGAAAGAGTAAAGCACTCTGAGGGAGAGATGGGAAACAGCACGTGCCAGTTAATTAAAAACAGTGCCATCACTTTTTTTTCAAAGGAATAAACATCTATTAAGCACCTACTATGTGCAAAACACTATATTAATCTTGTTGCAAATATCTCATTTGATCCTCAAAACAACCCTATGAGATAGATGTCATTAGTATCACCATATTATATCTGGAGAAATTGAGGCAGAGTTTAAGTGACTTGCCCAGGGTCAGAAAGCTAGTAAATATCTAAGGCTAAATTTGAATTTCAGGATCATTGCTCTATCCACTGCACCACCTACTTGCCACCTTGACCACCACCTTCCCTCAGAAAACAATGGAGACAGCTAAAATCCAAAAACCTTGGGAATAACAGTGTTCTTCATGTTACTGCCCCCATGGAAATGTAGCCTGGCACTGAAGTCTCTGCCTTCTTATAAGCCACAGATACTATAGAAAAGAAAATTCTTGCTACCAACTTCCTTGGCACTATCACATGGTTCAACATCAGAAATGGATATCATTTTATCAGTAGAAATGACATTAAAGGAGAAGTATCCCCATCTCCTTTGCTGTCACACTCTAAAGACTAAGTGACTGTTCCATTTGACTTTCAAGTGATTTCTCTCAAACGTCTCTTCTCCCCTGTTAGAATGTGAGCTCTTGTGCCCACTTTCAGTTTCAAGCTGTCATCACTTATTGTTTACTGTCCTCAAATCCCAGACCACCTATGATTAGAAGACCAAAGCAATTTCTTGATCCCATCCCTTCCTCTCCTACCATGAAAATAGCACTCCAACAGATTTAAAGATACTTTACCATGTAGGACTACAAGAGACTACATATTATATGACACAAAAGTCGGAAGAGGTGAGTAGAGTAATTGGATGAAAAGCTTAAAAGTCTATGACTTACAGAGACTCAAATCCTGCTCCTTCATCACCTAGGGGTATTTGCTACTCTTCTTACCTCCTCCTTTCCATCAGCTTCTCAGCCAAGTTTAAGATTAATCCAGTTATATGTCTATTGGTTATACTGTCGACTTCTAAAATCTGATTCCTCAGCCCTATGAGAACTGTGTCTCACTATACTTCCTGTCATTTTAGCCTAAAGAAGGAGTGTTTTCCCTTATATTGTATGCTAACTTGTGTCACCTCAACCTGGATCCATCTGCTAAGTTCTAAGACACTTAATCCTACCTCTGAAAAAGAAGTGAATCTTTGTCTGGGGCACAAAGCAAACTCTCCTGCATTTCTGGATCTTCAAGCTCCTTACTTTGTCTTTCATATTTTCATATTTTGTTCCCAGTTGCTTGCTTTATTACACAATCTTTTCTTCTCTCTGGTTCTTGGGAGCAGATTGTAGAGATCAGAATTTTCACTAGTTCAACCCTCGATGAAAGAAATTCACCTGCACCATGGTACCTACAGCATTTTCTGGGTTTTTCTCTCCATTTTTCTATTTCATGGCCATTTTCTCCCAGTCATCCTGCTTTCTCTTCTTGAAACTCAACTCCCAGGTGGTACTGTCCCAAGCCATTCCACATTGGCTAAACTGAACTGACAGAACCATCCCAATACAAATAGACTGGTCATTTCCCCCGGAAAGTTAGTTCTCAGCAAATGATCCAATGACCTTTTCATAACTTATTGATTCTACTTGAGACCCTTAGAGATACAGCCTGGTATACCAGATAGAATGTTGGACTTGAAGATAAGCAGATTAGACTTTGAACTCTGCCTTAAACACTACTAGTTGTGTAATCTTTAGCAAATCACCAAACCTCTCTTTGCCTCATTTTCTTCATCCATAAAATGAGAGAGTTAGAATGGATGACCTCTGAAGTGTTCCACACCTCTAAATCTATGGTGCTATGATCGTTCCCTGGTCATAGGGGATTAACATTTGAGAAACTGCCTGCTATGATATTAATTACAATACTAATTATATATTCTTTCTAAGCCCTCTTCCCTTTTAATTTAGTGTGATGATTCTACTATAGAGAACCCAGAAAACAAAAAGACAAGTATAAGTAATAGTTAGGGTGTATGATTAAGATTTAGGCAGGATGGGGGCAGAGCCAAGATGGCAGAGAAAAGATAGGAATTCACTCAAGCTCTCCTCAAAACCTCTACAAGCAAGTTTAAATAATGCCTCAAAACAAATTCTTTTGGCCCACAAAAGGATGGACTGAAACAATTTTCCAGCCCAAGACAACTTAGAAGGTTGGTGACACCAGGGTGAGAATGGAACACAGGCACCCCAGCAGACCTGCAGTAAGCCTTGGAGGTGACTGAATCAATGCTGGCAGTGGTGGTTTCTGGAGAAAACTGAGGCAAACAGGAGTCAAATGACTTGCCCTCATAGCTAGTAAGTATCTGAGACTAGATTTGAATGCAGGTCTTTCTGACTCTAGGCCCAGCACTCTGATAACAAATTTTAACAATCTTGTAGTAATAAAATGCAAAGTAAATGGGGTGGATTAAGAAAGATCTCACGTAGAAGATGGCCCTTGAACTATGCTTTGAAGGAAACTGGAGATTCAGAGAGGGAGAAATTAGGAGGGAATGAATTCTAGGTGTTTGGGAAATGGTATACAAAGGCACAGGGATGAGATGTAGAGCAAGAAAGTTAGTTAGATGTAGCAGTGTTTCAATGGGAAGTTTGGCAAAGTACCACACATCTGTTACGTCATTTGTTCCCTACAATACTCTGTGAAATAGTTGCTGTTACTAGCTCTATTTTATATATATATACATATGTATATATATATATGTATATATATATATACATATGTATATATATATATGTATATATATATATGCATATATATATACGTATATATATATACGTATATATATATATATGTATATATATGTATATATATGTATATACATATATATGTATATATATACATATGTATATATGCATATATATATACATATATATATACATATATATATACATATATATATATATATATATATATATATATATATACATATATATAGGAACTAAGGCTGAGAGAGGTTAAATGACTTACCTAGGGTCACATAGAAAGTTAGCTTCTAAAAGGGGACTGGAGCTCTCTCAGGACTTCTTTGCTCCAAGTCCAGAACTCTTCACACTGTGCCATCTTGCTCGCTAAGGTAGGTTGGAAACAACACATTGTGGAGGGCTTTCAATGACAAAATGAAGAGCTTCCATTTAATCCTTCTAGTAACAGAGAGCCACTACATTTTATTGGCAATAAAAAAAGGGTGACATACACTGCTTAGCTATAGCTTTTCTAATTGTCATAGACTGTATACCCACAGCCATTCTCTCATTATCTGCAGCAGGGACTTTTAGTTTGGGGGAGTCTATATATCCCATGCAGTTTGTGAACTTGGATGGGGGGGAAATTAAATTACACCTTTGTCTTCATTAACCTCTAACTGTAATCAAGAATTTAGGTTGATTACAAATGGAAGCAACAAACATTCTGAGAAGCAGTCTGTAGGCGGGGTGATAACAGAAAATAGGGTTAGAAACCCCAACTCTAAAA